AGGTATGAGGCCGAGGAAGCTGATTCTGTAGTTCCTTTAATGTCTAGTTCTGTGGGATATATCAATAGGAGCAAATCACAAAAGTTAGGATTGTTGATAGAAAGGACATCATCAATATATCTAAATGTAAAATTAAAAGATTTAGCTTCTTTAAATTGTTTGTTCCTAACACTTCACTTGTGGGATCATATATATATATACAAGAAATAGCCATGTCTCCATCAGTTATCACAGATGGATTTTGCATAACAGACTGTGTGACATTAGAAACAATTTTCCAGGTATTCATTGCAGATTTCTTTTCTTTTCCTGCAAAAAAGGAAACTGCTTCACATCCAGTAAATGAATGAAACATTGGCAATGCACAGGCCTTTTCTTCACCTAGTAGTTGTGGTATCTTGTTGACATTGATGTATCTGAAGTATTGCCATAATCCAAATGCAATTGCCAGCTGTAAGTTTCTAAGTCTTACTACAGCAGCGACTCTGAGAACTACAACATCAGTATCAACTGTGTGAATGACTGTGCGATTCATTCCCTGTCCTTGTTGAGCATCCTTTATATGTACAAAAATCCTGGTGTCAGCCAACACGTGGTTACATGGGTTGATCAGGGTAAACTATGGCAGAATTCTTTAGTGACCTCTCCAGGTAGACATCGAATACCACATCGATTCTCAATGCATTGGTTGACAACTTTCTTAATCATGGAAGAACTGTCTTGGAGGCATAATCTGCAAACGTCATATTGGCTTCAATTTATTTATCAGTGCTGCTCCATCAAGAACTATCACTTTTGGTTCTGGAGGATCACAGCTAGAAATCGAGTAATCCATGCTCTAGAGCTTCAGCAGCTATGCTTTGTTCCCTGATCTCACTGTTTTGAGAAATTGACGGAGGTGTGCTCTTTTATATTGCCATCCCTATTCTGACATACAATAAAGAGACGGGAAAACAATGAAACGTCATTCTTCAAAGATGGCATACGCTTTTGTTGCTTTGTTTGCCCTTTGGGTGAGTTGAAGATGCTCATTTTATCTGACAATGAGTCAGTCCTTCTTCAAACTGTTTTCGACCCACTTCTTCAATCTTTTCTAGATTTGATACTGCAAGTCCTTGGTGTATATTCCCTGTGTGTAAGACAATCAATGAATCTGTCAACTCTAAAAATGGATTCAGTTATTGTGCTATGCAAGTTACAAACATCTGCAGAAAATCTCTTTTGGAATGATGCTATTTCTTCATGGTGCTTCTTTGCTTCTTCTCCATCCTGTTTTTTTGGGAATGCTGCTCTTAAATGCCTCTGTCAATGCTGATATTTGAGGACCTGAGATGAGCCAGCGATTCAGGGCATTCTCATTGCTTGTGATGCCAATTATTCCACTTTGCTCTTTCACATTTTTAGTGTTTAGTTCGTGGGCATGATCAATCTATATTCCTGAAAACCTATTCTCTGAATTGTGAACTTCAGAATGCTGTTCGCTTAAACTCAACATGTCCCTCAGGTAAACAGGAAGCCATCGAAAATAGTTTACCTTGTCCATTGCAAAACACCAATGCCCCATGAATATACAATTAAAAATTTCCTTCTTTGAGTAATTTTACAACTGTGAGCAGTAATAATTCCAATTAAAAAGCAGTTGACCAGTATCTGAACTGAGGAATGTTTTTAGACTGCTGGTAGAAGACTTCAAAATCTACATATTTTGTGAAGGGAATGAGCATCTTTAAGTAGTGAATATAGTGCGACTTTTTACATGACTGCATCACAGTAATGCAATGGCTTCTTCTAGAGCTTGAATCCACCCACTGCCTTTAAGCCAGGATCCGATCAGGCTAATAAACGCCATTTCTATATGTAACCCACCTAACATTACTAGTAGCTTATTTTCTCCAAACTTCTCAGGCCATGTTCATTGAACTGTCTTTGCAATGGCATAGAGCGGCTGATCATATGTCATAACAGGTGTCTGTTCTGGCTTGAGAAAAGTTGTCACTTTTTTAATAACTTCGTGCCATGGCACATCAAAGCTACAGAATGGGAATCTTCTTTGGAAAAGGAAAGCATTGATGAGATGGTTTTTAACACTATTAGATCATTATGTTGGTTGGCGTGGGAGGCCCACCAAGATAACATGGGTGGAAGTCATTCCATTATTCGCAACCTTACAAACACAAGCCACGTCTTCCTATATATCATAACCTCACTCAGAGAACCAACTTCTTTTAATTTCCAGGATGTGTTTGAAGGAATAGGAGGAATATTTTACCATCACAAGGCTGACCAGTGTTATGATCATCAGGATGCTTGAATATGGAAAGCTTCCTTTGTAGTCATGGAGGTAGGGTCATAGTCCAGATTGTCATAAGCTGATGTGGTAAACACATATTTTACAAGATTTTCAGAACTGACAACCCATCGAATTTTGTATGTGCACAATGAACGTACTATAGTGTTATCAATTTTCAGAACTCTGTCATAGGAAATTGATAGGCCGAGTTGAAACATCTCATCAACTAACTTGGCCTGGCGAGTTTCTGAGTAAATACTGAGGCCAACATGTACAGGCAGTGTTGGTTCTCGGTCTTTGCTATGACGATCATACACCGTATTATTCAAATCTTGTCAACGGTTACAGGAATTGAATATGACCATCTGTGAAACAGAGAGACATGCTTGGTTTTAAGATAACATATCATGCTTTTTCTTTGCTGTAAGATCAGACCCATTTAAAATCATGCTGACCAGAGTGAGTAATGTTTTAAAACAGATTGCATTTGAGCATCTTTGCTAAATGTACCATCAAATTTGGTTGCAGTGGTAAAAATATCCCTTCGTATGATGCTTGCCGCCTTTGCGAGGTATGTTCCTTCATCGTCACCACAATCTGCATAAGCCATTTGAAGCATTTCACCTATTCTTTGGCGCATGCGCAGAAAATCATTGACTTTTTCCCTGTACATTTCGTTGCAAATGTGCAAGCAGTAATCTAGTAAACACAACAGCGATACATTTAGCTGTTCTGCTGTTTAAAGGAAAACATTCAATTCGGTATTGGTGACGTCATTGTGACGTCAAAATCAATTTTTAGAAGTGGCTCCAAATCTTAAAATGTTGAGCAGAAGTCATAGTACCTTGACACAAGGTTTCATCCTTTTAACATAAACTGAACAGTTTTGATGTTTTTCAGTACATATCCACTGGACTATTTGAATATCTTGATAGAACAAGGTTTTACAAACAAAATATATACCAAATATATGCATATATGTTAAAAAATGCGAGAATAACACAACTTTTAGTCGAATTTATCTTAATTCGTAAACACGCCATTACGCAAATTGGTAATTGCATTTTAAGAAGATGTTAAACCACTTACATTTTTTCCCAACCACCCATTTCCCACTCCAGAGACCCCAATGCAATTAAAAAACGTGATTGTTATACTCTGGGGATGGGTTCAGTCCCAAATACCAGGCTAAACCAGTGCACTATTTGTCTTTGCTGCCAAACAAAAATATAATATTGTATTGTATTATATTTGAATATTAGCGAACAGACAACATATACTAATACACATATGCCGTCACAGAACTGAATTATGAATAATATCATTGATTCAGAACATTCTGGACATATTAAAGTGCTTGCACGTGGAAATAAATATAGCCACATATTGTGAATCACCGTATAGATAGAAAGAAAGTAAGCAAATTGTTTTACATTTTCCTCACATCTGTCAAAGTGATAGACGATGACACTGGTTTCCCTATCTTTTTCATTCATTGCCAATAATTTTCACAATAGTGTTTATGATTAATTATTTCACCCGCAATCATTTGCTGGAGAGTCAAGATAGTTGACGTCACAGTACTGATGAAATGTTAATGTTATCGAACACTGAACATTCTAGGATTGCATGTTTTAAATAATATTTGAATAATGAAGAAAGGAATATATAATGGCAGATATAATGGCAGATGCAATCATTTGAGAAAGGTAATGCAGGAACAATGTTAGTGTTATATATAATTCAAACAAGTACATACCTAACACGGAGAACAATATAATGTACTTCATTCTGGAAACAGTGATATGATTGAATTAAACAAACCTGGAATAAAACGAAGAATTAACTGAGCTGGTAAGGACTTTTTTATCAGTAATTCGATTTGCGTTCGTACTTTCATTTGTAAATGCTAAAACGTTGCACACTTTCAACCCATACTGTCACAGGCAGTACAAAAATTGCCACTTGGCCAGTGGCTGTGACATCCTAAATATTTTGACAGGTTATAAGTTGATTGTTCTCTGTCGTTATACTACCAGAGTTTATTAAATGTGGTATCGCGATGCTGATATTATTTGTTTATATGCAGCAACAGAATAAGTAGGCAACAGTTTCACACTCTGCTATTAAAACGCCATTTCCCAACATTGAATAAGCAGAGGGCTATAGGAATCTATTCTAAAATTCCTTCGGTGCCAATATGTTCATACCAATTGTAATTATTTGCAAAAGTGGATATACACCAAAAGTAAAAACCTTTATGCCACGGATACTCTGATGCAAAGTGTCTGATTATCTAGTAGAGGCGAACATTTAAACTAGTTTACAATGGCGAGTGGGCAGTCTATTTAAGGAACCATTAACTATGTCAAACTCTCATTCACATTAACTTCAGATACTGACGTGATCGTTCCAGCATGATTGGGATAATGTCATTATAAGGCAAAAAATAGGTAGTTACTCGTGTACAAAATAACATCGTAAATATCAATTGCTTAATTCACTCAGATTCAAATTGAAATTATTATCTCAACGTTAAGTGCCATTTTATAATGATTGAACACGATATACAGTATACAGAGACACAATAATGTTGACAATTTACCTTTTTCACTTTGCTCTATCACTGCAAAAATATGGCTGCTACACTTAAAATCTACCAGTACTTTATGCTTGAAGTTATTATTGAACAGACAGAAAAATATAAATATTGTTTTTTCGATTAGGCTATTCCATTTTGCTCTTATTCAGCTATTCTTTTGTTTGTTTTCATTTTATTCAATAGATTAAACGTTGACACTCGTCATGAATTTCTACTGTACAACCTAAGATATGTGAACGCTCAGTTTCTGAAAATCGTTTGCTTCAAAGCTGGGCATATCATCAATGCTCATTCAGTGAATAGTGTGTTTGGTGATCTCAATACAGGGTTTATAATAGTCGTGCAGCAGCTGTATACTCACTCACGCGCTCAATTTTGGACACGCATAGAACTAGCTCGGACTTAGGTACTAATATGACAAGTTATGGATAACCGTCACCTCAGTGTCTCTAATTTAACATTTAAAAGCATTCACGAAAAGTGGTACTGGACCAGAGCCTGACTAGATGAACCTCTCTGTAATGAATTCACTATGAGAGCAGTATTACTTGCACCATGGCTATCATTGACAGTTTTGAAACTTGTTGACCCTATTTTAGATGCATGTCAATCTATGATATAAAATATGAGATAAAATAAACAGATCAAATCAGTGATAAGAGAATGGACGTAATAAAAACTGTTTTAATTATTTGAATATATTAAAGAAGACACCTAGCGATAAAACAAATTTTTGAGATTACAAATTACAAACCAAAAAATTGGTCGGAGTGATAAAACTCGATATGAATGAATAAACTAATCACCTCATTGTATCCAAATTCAATATGTAGCAACAATATCGACACAGTAAAAATAAATAAATTGTAGCTTTGCAATTCATCTTCCCTATCAGTGGAGCTGACATGATATATACCAACACACCTGGTCCTAACAAG